ATTATATAAACAAAGGCATTTTTGTGGCAGACAATTTTTACTTCCTATTATCACACATCTTATTTTCAATTTTCTGCCTGCATGGGCAACCGTAAAGATTGCGTTTAATCAGATGTTTCTTTTCTTTTTATAGGAAGAAATATCTATTTTCTCACATTTTCTAGGAAGCACACATTCCTTTGTCATAAACCAAAATAGTTTTTTTTTTTTCTTTTGAGACTTAATGGCAGGCAAATAGTACAACAAATATTTAAACCTGCTCTTTGTTTACCAAGCATGAATTAACCAGGTTGGGAGGGCATATTCACATCCCAGTGATTATACAACCTATTTATACAACCTGTTCTCCCCCAAGTACTTCAGCTGAATAGTATATCTAAAAGTCAGAAATGAAAGCACATTCAGTTCACTAGGAGCCAAAACTGTGTAGCGCTTTTGCTAGAAATATTTTTATGTCTAAGCAGAGTATCCATGAATATTTTTAAAATAATGAACTTTATTGTCCCCATGGTTCAAAGAAAGGTTAAATTTTTACTTGTCTTATATGGAACTAAGCTATTAGCATAGAAAAAATTTAGTAACAAGTCAGGACAGAGGTGTCTTCCAATGGGTTTCCTGAATGACCTTGCAATTCTCATAAAACAACTCTTCTCCCCTCCTTTACAGAAAATATAAGACTCCTTCAGTCCACAATTCGATTTAAAAAATCTTTTCTTCGAAATGGTTCCTATGAGGATTACTTCCCTCCGGTTGCTGAAGTCTTAAAATCAAAAGTAAGCCATGAAAGAAAACAAAAATAAACCTCAATATTTCCTATAATATTTTGTCAAGATACACTTTTAGCTTAAGAGTTAAGTCTGATCTTTGTAAATAATGATCCTATTTTGTCTCTAGATTTATAATGGTCCTACTTAATACTCTAGCACAAGGATGACAAGCGTTTGGTGTTGTATGGTGGTATTTTGTTTTTAATCAAGTGAGATTTCTGCATAAAATAAACTGATTAGAGCATGAGCATCTATAAAGGAATGACTAACAATAGAATTACCTTCTCAGGCTTCACCATTTGAAGAAACATTCATAATATGATTTCTATTATAATTTGAGATGTCCTAAGTTTTAAAATCTATAAAAGTGGATTTTAAAAGATGATATTTTAGACTTCACAGCCTACAGCATTCTCAAATGTTGACTCACCCATTTTATTATTATCATCAGAGATAGAAATGAATAAGTCGTATTAAAATGTATGCTTTTGAAGAAAGGGGGAAAAAGCAACCCTAAAATATAAAACCTGAAATTTGCATCTGTTTATGCTCATTTATTATTCTTCATGTAGCTCGGGCATATAGCGTACAGGTTATCATGAAAATCATTTCATTTCTTAAATAACCCTATTAAATTTTGAAAGCAGCTTTCCTAGTAAGAACAGGAGTTTAATTGGGTTTAGGTAGCCAGGGATGAAGTGAAATTAGAACTGGTTTATTCAGGACAAGCAGGATGACTTGTCTAGTCAACATGGTGTAATTAAGCGGGCAGGCAAAACATTACGTCCACTTATGTTACAAATAAATGTGGCAGTTAGATGACCTACATTTTTAGCCCTCATCTTTTACATGCATCAAAAATTCTAATATACTTAATTTAGCATTATCTTAATTTGTGCAAATGAGAAGGAAGTTATGCAGTCATCTGGAAAATTCCTACTCATCCTTCAGGGATAAGTTTATTTATTTATTTTTTACTTCAACATATCAAGGGGCTACAAATGTTTTGTCACATGGATACCTGGTGTCATGCTTAAGTTGGGGCTTTCGGCATGCCCATCGCCATAATAGTGCTCATTGTACCTGAGGGTTTTTACTCCTTATCCCTCTCTCCTGCTTCTTGGTTTCCATTTACAGTGCTTTGTGCCCTTGTGTGCCCATCACTTAGCTAAGGACAAGTTCTTAAATGTCGCTTTTATAATATTAGAGTATCACCTTTCTCCTTCTCTCTCTCAGAGCCGGGAAAATGGCTTTGTCTTCTGTGCTCTTCTAATATTTATCCATTCATTCCTTTCATTCATTGCCTGTGCCCTCATAATAATAATATGTGTAATTATAAGACATAATCTCTAACCCCCAAATGCTTATAACCAATCCAGGGGAGGAGATAAAAAAGCAGAGCAAAAATGATAATACAATGAGGTTAGACATTGTAATACAGTGAGGTAATACAGTGTGTGGATGGACAGGATTCTGTGCATGGAGGTGGGATGTCTAATGTGGATTGCTGGGGACGGAGGTAAAGAGAAGCTTTATAGAGGAGATAATGCCTGCTCTGAGTCTAGAGAACTGCGTAGAATTAGGTTAAATAAGGGTCCTACATTCTAGACGCAGAGACCTGAGTTTGTAAGAGGACAGTGGCATGAAGCTGAAGGATGGGTGGGAGTTACCTGGAGTCCTGTGTGTGCAGCGAGAGTAGACGCTGCCCATGGGACAGACCAGAAAGGGGGCTGCTGAGTGAGACCGAACCCAGGTCCCAAGGGCTTCCTACTGCCTCGCTGAAAAGTTTGAATTTGGCCTGAACGTCGTGAATTTGAAGAAGGTGAAATTTGCATTTTAGGAAGAGATCTCTCTGGAAGAATTATAGGCAAGAGACTGGAGGAAAGCCAAGTAGGCTATTTTTGCAGTAATCTAAGTGAAAAGGGAAGGCAGGCACTTTGCCATTGGCAGAGGACAGAAGAAAGAGACAATTTCTGAAGTAGTAAGAGTGATTTAGGAGATGAGATTGGAACAACATGGCAGCCCGTGGGATGTGAGGCAGAGAGAAGAGGAGGATGTAATGACTGAGACTTCGGCCTGTACAGTTCATTCCTCAGCGTGAAGGTTTGTTGTATGTTCCGTTTCCCTCATGAGAGTGTAAACGCTGATCAAAGTATGCCTTCTTCATCTCTAAAGCCCACGTGGTAGGAGCTTAAGGCTTGATCCATGAAGGCACAAAAAAATAAGGGTGTTAAAGTAGAGCACTGGCGTTGTAATCATGCTCCCTGGGCAAGGACTCATGGTGGTTCTCAACTTAGGAAGTAACTGAGAAACACACATAATACACTAGGGAAATGGAAATGATCAGTCTCAACCATATACACACATAAGATGGGACTAGGGGTCAAAAGAATTTAAAGCATCACCCACGATTTGAATATAATGGACATTTTGAGGGTCACATTATGAAAAAAGTTCTAGAAATAACAGATATGGACATAACCTATAACCCTTGTCTCTTAGATGGAAAATCTTTTGTCACTTAAAATAAGCGTGGCTTCTATTTGAAATTGACAGAGGCCATTCAGCCCTAGACCACAAGCTCCATGTGGAGTATGGCCAGGTCTGTCCCTTTGCCGTTACATGACCAGGACCTGGCGTAGGAGCCCCACACAAGGAAGCACTGAGGACATATGATTGGAAGAGGGAAGACAAACTCCCAGAGTTTGTACTTTTTTTAGAACATAAAACTCAGGATTAAATTCAGTGGCACTAAGTGCATACACAACATAGGGCAACCGTCTCACCCTCCATTCTGAATTTTCTGACCATAGATTCTGTATAGGGTTCCAGAGAACATATTTGGAGGAATATTTGACACGATGGTCAGGGCTGTGACTACGGAAGGACAAGGGCACGTCTCTCCAACAGAGAGACCTAAATGTCTAATCAGACACCTGTAGGTCAAGAGTTAGCTGGGAAAGACAGGTGTGAGCCTGAACAGAGGGACAGCAGGGGAAGGCCCAGTGCCAGCAGCACATGCTCAGGCTATGAAAGATACTTCCTGACTCTCAGAGGAGGGGCTGCTGCACATAAGCAAAGAGCTGGTTGAGTAACTAGAGGTGCTCTTACTTCCCTGCTTTGCCCACCCTGATAATTAGTAACATGATTTGGCAGTCAGCTAGAGCCCATTCATGTCAGAGCTTGATTCACGGTATTCCTAAAGTCTCAGAGAACCCTGGTATTTGTTGGCAACTTTTCCCTCTGCTTCTCAGCCTCTGTCCCAGCCTGACTGTTTTCTTCTTCTTGAGCTTTTGTGCTTTCTTCTCCTTACATGGTCTGTTTTATCTTTTTCTTTCTAGCCCCTTTGGTGGGAGGGGCAACTTTCTGATGGAGGGAGGCTGTATGTTAATAGATGTTCCTCTTATTAAACAGAAACACAGATAACACAATATTTTTATTATAACACCACCCTCCATTTGCCCACCAAGAGCCCAGAAGTACTGCTGTTTTATTATTTTGTACCCCTGATTGTGAGGTCCATACCATTGTGTCACGGTTCTGATTCAGATGCATTTGGGAATCAATTGCATCTGGAATTGACACATACTTTTAAAGAGAGAATTCTGATTCACTGAATTCATGCTGATTGTTAGTGATCTGTGAAGCTTCTAAAAGTTTAATGTGTGTGTTCTTAGAATAAAGTGGTAAGTGATGACACATAGTAAATGACCATAATGTTACTCCCTTGTTGGCTATGCCCCTCAATGCATTCCACATTATTGACCCTGAATTACATTTTTATTTCAGAGAACAAAGACTACATCAGCAGTGTGGCTAGATTTCCAATTTCCCCTCTATAACCTTTACCTCTTCAAGCCAAGACTATACTGTATGGACTGTTACTGGTTTCCCATATATGTATGTCAAATTTGTGATCAGAAAACATATTTCAGTCTTAACTGGGTAAAAGACATTCAGATTGGCTATACCCTCAAAATGTAATTAAAACAAATATATTAGACCACTACTATTTAGCTTTTCATATAAGAAAAGTCACTGGAGGGAGGATGTGGTATAGAGGCTTGGCTCCATTTATTAGAGGCTCAATCTTATCTAGTGTTTGGAAAATCAAAGGCAAGAACAGAGTAGCAAACGTGTAGTTACAGCTGGTAGAGTAACTGGGTCTATTCCAGAATGGAAAGTTGATCATAGCAATAAGGCTGGTAAATAGAATTTCTGAATATATGAAGCCATTTGGAATAGTTAACAGCCATAGGTCAATTATAATATTAAATACAGTGGAAAATAGATTATGTTTAATTGCTGCAACCTACATGTAGCTATATACTTTTTATTAAAGACACATCATTGCGTTTTTCTTATTTCATATATGGAAAGAAATACTCTCCAGCATTTGCTTATACCATAAAATATTTCATTTCTGTCGAATGTAACTTCTGATTGGAAACTGAGCTCCAATGAATTACGAAGTATTTGCTTCTTAAGACATTATTCCAATTTATTTGCATCTTAGAATGAGGAGTTCGAGGGTAACTTCCCAGCACAGCAGAAACAGCTTTCCCAGAGGCATATCAAGATTCTTCCATAGGCTATATAGTGTGGACTGTGTCCTCAGATCATAGAGAACATGCTGAACCATAGAGAGGAATGTAGTCGACAGGATAGGAAATTATTTGACTTTCATTTTTCTTTTTTTCCCCTGGATGTGGAATTTTAAGCCCGTTTAAGCACGTCCATAGGAAAAAACATCTAGTGTTCTGCAGGGCAGAAGGTGATGTCAACAGCCGTGCAGGCACTTCCAAAAACCAGACGTGTTCTCTCCTGCGGTTTAAATGCAATCTTCTTGGAATGCATGTGATTCTCATGCTGCATTTTAAGAAAGATTTTTAAAAACATTTTGTCAATGTTTAAAAATTGTAGGAAAAATATAACATTTATCATCTTAACCATTTTTACTATACAGTTCAATTGTGCTAAGTACCAGCTAATCTCCAGGACTCTTTTCATTGTGTAGAACTAAACTCTACACCCATTAAACAACTCTTGGAAATGGAGTTGCTAAATCACATAATAAGTCTTTATTTATTTTTGTGAGGAACTGCCATGCTGGTTTTCATAGTAGCTGCCCAGTTTACATTCCTACCAATAGTGCCCATGGTTATAATTTCCCCACATCCTCACCAGCATTTACTATGTTCTCTTTTTCCAGTAATAGCCATCATAATGGGTATGAGGAAGAAAGCAGATCTTTTTATCTGCCCTTATGCATAATTTAAAATATAAATTAAAATATAAGATTAGGATTGAGCATGGTGGCTCACACTGGTATCCCTTGCATTGGGAGGCAGAGGTGGGAGGATCACCTAAGACTAGGAGTTTGAGACCAGCCTGAGCAAGATTGAGAACCTCTCTGTACAAAAAATAGAAAAATTAGCAGGTTGTGGTGGTGCTTGTCTGCAGTCCTAGCTTTTTGGTATGCTGATGACGAAGAAGAATTGTTTGAGTCCTGGAGATTGAGGTTGAAGTCAGCTGTGATGATACCAGTCTATCTAGCCTGGGTAATGGAGTGAGATCTCTTTTCAAATATATATATATATATATATATACACACACATATATATATACATACATACATATATAATTTGTTGAATTTTTTAATTTAAATTGGATATAACTGCCTTTTTTTAAACCCATGAAGCTACAGAGAAAGACTCTGTCCAAAATGTCCAAAGGCCTTATAAAATCTGTAAGAGAACAATAAACTCAAATGACAGAAAATAGTGCTTTGAAATAAAACTAATGCCAAATGCCAGCTAACCGAACACATATGCAGAATGTTTTTTAAAAATGAATCGATTTGTGTTGCTTATCATGAACAACAGACTATGTAGAATGACGTGAATAATCTATTTCCTCACTCCTTCCCCTTTTTGAAAAGCTGTCTCAACTTCGAAACTTGACCGAACTTCTTTGCGAATCTGAAACTTTCACTGTGATGGAGAAAACATGCCATCTTTCCAATCTGAGCTTTGGGAGCCTGTGTGAAAACGGTGCCTTTGATCTGCAGCTCCTCGAAGCAGCAGAGCTGGGCACTGAAATAGCAACCAGCTTCCTCTACCATGACAATGTCATATCTAAGAAACTGACAGATTTACTGACTGGGGATCCAAGCAAAATCAATTTAAATATGGATTGGTAAGTTTTTCCATTGTCTGCTGCCTTTGTGAAATCCTTCTCTGAATATTGATATGCCTAGTTGAATTTCTTCTTCTCTTCTGTTTCATTCCAGGTTTCTTGAACAGACCCTGCAGATGAAAGCCTTGGAAAATATCACACAGTTAATACCAACCGTAGAAGCCATGCTGCATGTCAATAACAGTGAAGATGCTTCTGCCAAACCAGGTGTTTCCCCAGGCGCATTTAAGTCTGTCTTATTAGGATGCATGTGATACTCACGCTGCAGTTCACGAAAGGGCTTTTTTGAAGTTCCCAACCAAACCTGCTTTGTTGTCTGCCCTTACACATGAGTACCCGGACGCTTTCAAGTACCGTTACATGTCTAAAGTAAACACAGAGAAAGGGAGTGGAGAGTGAGACAGGGAAATTTAACTTCACAGCAAAAAGCTCTCCAAAAATTTAACTAGTTAGACCATTCACCTTTGGTTTCTCTGATATATTACCGTGCATTAGATAGTTGACTGCAAGAGCAAGAATGAAATGTATTTGCTCCTCTGAAAATAATCTGATTGAAAAAACAAAAAAGGATGCATGGCTGTCTACCGAGATCTCAATTCCGAACTTCCTGTTAGTATTCTGAGCATGATGTATCATGCAATATGTTTCTCCTTTGCATAATGCCTCAATGCTGAAAGGAAAGGCATTCAGAATTTTGGACAACAGGCAGCCACAAAATTGGAAGGGCATTAAGTCCAAAAATAAAGAAGATATATTTGCATGAAGGATGCTTACCAAAAGGCATTGAAAGGCATCTGCAGGATGAAACTTCCAACCCACTGAAATAAAATCAAAATTATTGTGCCTTATAGGACCCAGGTACAAAATAATTATAATCACCGTCCTCAAAGAACTCAAAGATAAACACATTCTATATGCAAGTGAGATCATGATTATAAGAACCTTTTATAAACTGTAGTGTGCTAGGAAAAGTTAAGGAAAAATGCTCTCTGGAATTATGTTGTGAATTTCTCAAACCTCGTCCTAAGTTGACAACATTGTATGATCCCAGGTTAAAAAAAACTTTACATTTGTGTGATGTCTCAATTCAAATGGAGAGAGACTTTTTTAGTGCAGCATGTGATCAAAGTATGTGAGGGAACCATATTGTCTTTGAATCAGCCTTGTGTTATAGATACCTAAGGAAAATTTATAACTCAGAACAATCTGTCGCTTTGGGTTAATGATATCATAATAAGAACAAATCTAAATCAGATAGAAAGGGACCCTAAATTAGATGCAGAAAATTTGCCTAAACCAAAGGACATCTGTTCTTGACATGCATGTATGGTGAAGAGATGTTTCAGTCTAGAAGGTTTCTCTGTGTTAGATGACTAAATAGAATGATGTTACAACCAACATGGGAGTTTGTTCTTTTTTTCTTGCAGGTCAGTTAATAGAAATGTTTAAAAATGTTGACGAGCTGAAAGCAGAACTGAGGAGAACAACAGGAATGTCCAACAGCAGTATTGACAAGTTGCTGGCCCTTCCCATCCCTGATAACAGAGCCAAGGTAGAGGGCCATGTGTTTGTACTTCTATGCGGTTTCCAAAAGTTTAAATCGGATTTAGCATTTGTCAAGAACTTGCTAGGAGCGAGTTGCATGTAAATCTGGAGAATTTTCCATGCAAGTGATAAAACCGGAGGCCTAATTTTTAAGTCAAAACAGAAGAAAAAATTCTAAAACACGAATATTGTCACAGTGGATTCCTTTCCCTTTATTTTTTTTCCTTTCATTTTATTTTTCTTTCTTTGTCTGTCCCCTTTCCTCCTTTGTTCTCTCTTTCACTGCACCCTGCCCCCCCTTCTTTAAACAATGGGCATCATCAATAAATAGTTGTGTTCGTTATCACAATCATATCGTCTGCACTGAACTTGTACCTGCTATGATGATACCAAAGTCAAATTCCGGCAACCCAATTGGGGGGAAAGTATGGAGCCTATTTACTGTTGGTTCAAACTTAGATAAAAAGGGAAACTCATTTTTACTTTTTAAGTCCCAAGACAAGGCATAGCATACACAATAGATGTGGTCAAGGGAGATATGGGTTGCAGCAAACATTTTTTGGTGTGAAAATGAATATTGTTGTTTCCTCGTAGGCTGATAATAAGGTTTTCCACTCGAAATGTCTTATCTTTTATTCCTTTTCCAAGTCCATTGTCTGGGAGTGTCATAGAAATTTTCCAAAAGAGCTGCAGAGCTTAAGGCCTCATCCATTCAAAACTTATGTGTGAGAGAGTATGTCATTTCTAAGCACAGCGAGTTAGCTTCCAATATTGGATAAAATTTCATGAAATCCTTTAAGGTTCCCTTTGGAAAATAGTCACCTCGTGTCATTTTAATTGGTTCCTCCGCACAAAAATTAAAACAGCTTTGCCTTCCCTTTCTTCCCCTTGTGCTTGCAAATAAAATTTCATTTACCTTCTGCCTTTGACCTTCCCATCTGCTCTTTGATCCTAAGATCTAATTTCAGCAATCGTGTTTTTGGCTTCCGAAGAACAGGTTTGTTTTAGTAAATAAAACTGTGTAAGTAGAGAGCTTAGGTTCTTACTGCTTTCCAGAGGAAAGAGTGAAAAGTTTCTATAATTTTGAATGTCATAAGCTTTTCTCTTTAGTTCATCTTGGGGGCAACACAGATGACATGTTATTTCTCACCCCTCACCCTCTGCAGCGGCGTTACTGTCCAAGATGGTGATTACATTATTGATTGTTATGGGGAGGGGGCTTTTTTTAATGTCTCTGTGCCCACAGAGTATATTGTATAAGATTATAACTTTGAATATTATAAAAAAATGCCATTTGAATTAAGAGTAAAGTTTTAAAGGCAGCAGAGTCTTAATTTAGTATTTTTCCTAAAGTTATTCCGTATCAATTATCTTTCTTGGTGGTACCATCATTCACACAGCTGTTCAAACAAGAAATCTGGGACTTCTCCTGGATGCCTTCTGTCTCTTTTCCCATCTTATTTCTTAAGTTTTTCAGTGAACTAGGGGTTCTGTATAATTTTATTAATAGTGATTGGTGCTTTCAATAAAACACATTTGATTCTTGAGGATAATTTGTCTCCACGAAAATGTCCTTGAAGCTAGGCCTAAGTAGGCACCGTGTGTTTGTAACTCACCTGGGCAGTCTATCCCAGGAGCGGGGCGCTGGAGTGGGCTCCGGGGTCCGGGGAGAGATGTTCCAGGGCAGCCTCTTCTAATTGCACAATGTAGTGAGGGTGTGGGGGACTTGCTTTAATCCAAATGGGTTTACCATCATGATTATTTCACGTAGACATCACTGTTTCTATCAGAACTTTCTCCAATGAGGGTGGCTTATATTTGTCGTCAAGGACAAAAAAACATTTGAACCAAAAATGTGATGTTCTCGCAAAGGATAAATTGGCAAAAAGAGTGGTTTCTTTGGCCGGGCTGCATTTAGATTAGGACTTCACTTAATGCTCAGCGCCGTGCTCATACGTGTGATACTCATATGTGATACTCAATATCTACAAGTCATGTCTGTTATATTGCATATTCTATCTCTTACCTCTTGCAGTTGCAGAAGTCAAACGTGACTTGCGTATTACAATTTTAATACAGTTTTTTCCTTTCTTAAACAAAACTTAGACAAATGGACAAATGACTCACAAATGATTCACAGCTGAACTATTTTTCTTTTTCCAATTTGTAGATTGTTTCTCGGGTGTTCTGGTTGCATTCTTGCGATGTTAATGCTACCAATCCCGAACTAGAAGATGCAGTGAAGGAATTCTGCAGCCTGCCTTTTGCAGAAAGATCACATCAGTCTTACCTCATCGGACTCACTTTTCTGCACTACTTAGACGTTTATAACTTCACATACAAGGCAAGTTGCTGTGGGTGAAATTTATTTGCCTTGATGGCTTAGTATAAAAATACTTAATTACACATGTGCTCTCTGATATTATAAGGGATAAGATCCATTTGACCAGCTTTTAGAATTATAGCATTATTTTATAGCTAAATGAAATTGTGGAAATCATACATTGCTATTTTGCATATTTTTATAGACGAGAAAACTAATATTATTGCTTCAAAACTCTCCATTTGTGTATCAGAGACCAATAATTAAATTTAATGTAAACTGTTACTGTGATACACAAACACTATATTTCAAAAGTGCAAAATCCAAATATTATAATTCTTTTTTACAATGAACAGGCATTCATTTGTTAAGATAAAAATAAAGATTAGAATGAAGGGGGATTTTAATTAAAAGTAGGATTTTTTTTTTAGTGTTCTCAAAAAGAGTTTGTTTCCTTCATTAATTTCAATAGAGGCTGCCATGATTTAGCCAATAGAACCAAACAAATGACCTTGCCCAGGGCTGGGTCCAGTCAGCAGGGACTGCATCTTGCCATAGCAGGTGCGCTGTGGGTGCTTATTCAATAAATAACTGAAAAAAAATTATAGAAAAGTGAAACACCTTTGTTCACTCAAATCTCCATTTGGGTTAAAAACACTGAAAAGTGGGCAGTGCCCGTAGCTCAGTATGTAGGGTGCCAGCCACATACAATGAGACTGGTGGATTTGAACCTGGCCTGGGCCAGCTAAAACAACAATGGCAAAAAAAAAGTAAATAAATAAATACATACATAAAAACATTGAAGAATGTTTTTTCTTTTTAAAGTAAGAAAAACCAGGCTTGGCGCCCATAGTTCAGTGGTTAGGTTGCCGGCCACATATACCAGGGCTGGCAGGTTCAAACCCAGTCCAGGCCAGCTAAATGACAATGACAACTACAACAAAAAAATAGCCGAGTGTTGTGGTGGGTGCGTGTAGTCTCAGCTACTTAGAAGGCTGAGCCAAGAGAACTACTTAAGCCCAAGAGTTTGAGGTTGCTGTGAGCTGTGACACCACAGCACTCTACTGTGGGTGACATAGTGAGACTCTGTCTCAAATAAATAAATAAATAAGAAAAGTAAGAAAACCTAGAAGCAAATGGCTGACTTACATTGCTGAGACATTTTAACCAATGGGAGAGAAATGTTTTAGGACTCCTCCTAAGTAATCCTATCCCAAGTCATTACCACCATCCCACACCTGCGTTTCTGCAATGGCCTCCTGACCAGTCTCCTGCCACCACACTTGTCCCCTTCCTTTGCCCCTCACTACCTCCCAAGTCAGAGTGACCTTTTAAACACTTAAGTCTCATTATGTTACCCTTGTGCTCAAAACCTTCCAGTGGCTCTCCAGTTTATTCAAGTAAACCTTTAAATCTGCTTCACATCCTGCAGATCAACTACCTTCTTCTCTAAAATCTCATTTCCTATTTGGCTACTCTCTGGGCCAGTAGCTGTTGCATGGCACCAATCTGGAGACACCCTTCACCATATTTGCAAGGATATAAATATATATGGGGGGGGTGTGCGCGCACATGCGTGTGTGTATACATATTTTTAACCGAATGTTAACTTTCTCAATAAGTCCTATCCTGACCACCCTATTTAACATGCAACCAATGCTACCCACAGCACTCTCAAAATCCCTTTTCCTATTCTATCTGTTTGCTATGCACTTCCATCCAACTCTGTATTTTATTTAATTTCATTTTTGTAATTCATTGTCTGTCTATCCCCAGTAGTATGTAAGCTCCATAAGGGCCTCTTTGTTCACTGAAATATTTCAAATGCCAAGAACAGTACCTGGTTCATAGAGAAACTCAGAAAATACCCATTAACTAACCTAATGGTTATTTCACTAAAAGTATAACCTAAAATACATATGACTTATATTTATTAATTTCACTCACCTAAAATTGTCATTCTTTTTTATGTTATCTCTATGGAGCAGAAATCAAACTATGTATTTCTTGCTGAGTATACTCATTAAACAGGCTCATTTGTCAAGCAGAAGACCATTCTCGATTTTTTTAACGTTGTAAACAAAAATAATAGAAATTTCCCATCAGTAGTCAGTATATTTTATGCCAATACAGGAATGCCTAGAATTTCTAAACTAGAATAGAAAATATTAATCCAAAAATGGAAATGTTGGTTCTAATTTAGGAAAAAAAAATCCACTTACAATTAATAGCTGGCCCACCAAGGCAGCTGTGTCTTCATGAATGCAAGCTAAACAGCGTGGGAGATGTGAAGACAAGGGACCTCAGACGTTCCCTGTCTGCCTGCACCCTTCTTCTTTTTATTCTTCCTACGATCTGTCCCTTCTCATCCTTAAGGATTCCAGCTTGGAAAGAGACCTCTGATTTCTTTGCTAAGTGCTCCCTGCCTTCTCATGCCCCCCAGCCTTCTGTTTGTGGCCTTGTTTGATATCTGTTCCTCCTGATTTGAACCCTTCTTCATGGTTCTCTGAGCGCAGAAATTGTGCACCAATGCAAACCCTCTACCTCGTGCAGCGTGGGCAACATACCACCAGCACTCAGTGTTTGCTGAATAAATAAAAGAATAAGAGAAGGAAATTGTCTTAAAATTTTAAAAATATTTTCAATGTTTCTCCCTGTAGCAGACATGCATTTCAGAATTCAGTAGCCTGATAAATCATGTAAGCTTTTTTGACACAGTTTTCTGATTTTTAGGATCACATCATGTTATTTGGGGGCAATAGTATGTAATTGACGTTTGCCTTCATGACTTCTAAAATCATTGATTTTTCAGCTTTATTGAGGTATAGTTTATGCACCATAAAAATTGACTTACTTTAAGTGGATAATTCGACAATGTTTTAGTAAATATATAGAACTGTGCAACCACTACCACGATGTAATGTTAGAACATGTCCATCGCCCCCCAAAGAAACCTCATATCCATTTGCAGTTACTTCTCAGTTTGACCTGTTGCCCAGGCAACCTCTAATCTATTTTGTGTCTCTGTAGCTTTGTATTTTTTAGATATTACATATGAATCGAATCATACAAAATGCGGTATTTTTGTGTTGCTTCTTTCGCTTGATATAATGTTTTTGAGTTTCATACAGATTGCAACGCGTCAGTATTTCATTTCCTTTCATTGCCAAATAGTGTTCCTTTTTAAGGCTATGCCTTTTGTTTAATTCATTTACCTGGACTGTTTCCATGTTCGGCTATTGTGAATAATGCTGTCATGAACATTTGCATACAAATCTTTGAGTGGACATATGTTTTCACTTCTCGTGGATAAATACTAGGAATGGAATTGCCAGGTTGTTTGGTAAATCTATGGTTAGCTATTTTACAACTTTCAAAATGTTTTGCAAAGTGGCTGGGCCTCTCTGCATTCTTATCAGCGGTGCATGAGGGTTCCAGTCTCTCTGCACAGATGATTTATTTGTGTTCTATTTCTGTTAGGTGTTTTTCCCTAGGAAAGATCAAAAGCCAGTAGAAAAGATGATAGAACTCTTCATGAGACTGAAGGAGATTCTCAATCAGATGGCTTCGGGCACACATCCGCTGCTAGACAAGATGAGATCCCTGAAACAAATGCAGCTGCCCAGAAGTGTTCCATTAACACAGGTAGAAAAGTTACCCAGGAATTGCTCTTGTTGAAAAATTCCTCTCATATTAACTTGTATTTAAGATTAGTTATGATACAGTCCGCTTCAAAGATAGTCCATTAAAAGAAAATCACCTACAAGAAAATTCTGCTACTACGGCCACGCTCTTTGCCTTGAAATTGATGAAGATCATCATTCTGCATTTATGTTTGGGAGACATGTTTGAAAGGAATTATAGGAATTGTCTAAGCATTATCAAGCATTATCAGGTCTTCTGTCTATACTGCTTTCAGTGGCATCTATAGCTCATGTAAGGCTAATAAATCACATTTTTTTGTTTCCCAGGCAATGTACAGAGGTGACCGAATGAACACCCCCCAGGGATCATTTAGAACCATTTCCCAAGCATTGTGTTCCCAAGGAATCACCACGGAATATTTAATTGCCATGCTACCCTCTTCCCAGAAGCCAAAGGGAAACCACACCAAGGATTTTCTGACTTACAACTTAAGCAAACAGCAAATCGCTTCAAAATATGGAATTCCCCTGGATACCAGTAAGCACGCTTTGAAACAAGCGTAATTGTTCTTAATGACAATTTAAGAGCATTGTCTATTCTGTATTAGCTTTTCAGGATAATGAAGTATTAATTTTGCCCAAGAATAAAAATAGAAAACGCTTATACAGCACTTACTGCATGTTGAGTATGTCATGTATATTAACCCCTCTTAGTAAAGGGAAACTAAGCACAGAGAAAGTAAATAAGTTGGGCGGCGCCTGTGGCTCAAAGGAGTAGGGCCCCATAGACTGGAGGTAGGGGGTTCAAATGCAGCCCCAGCCAAAAACTGCAAAAAAAAAAAAAAGAAAGTAAATAAGCTGGCCGAGGTCACTCAACTCCAGAGTCATCAGAGCTATCATTTGAAGCCAGGAAGTTTGTGGTAAAGCCTATCTCCTTAACCACAACGCTATACTTAGAATTTGGCAGGCATCCCCACATCTTCCTTGCCTGTGGACGAGAGAAAAACTTGCCTTAGATCTGTTTTTTCCTTAACATTCTAGAATTAGAAATTTATATCACACCTGGTAGAGAGAGCTGCAGAAATGCGGCAGAATCATAAATGTTTAGTAGCACATCAAAGTCGTTTACTTGATCTATAAACTTGGAGACGGGAAATGTGACCAGCAAGCTCTGTCAATATATGGCTGTCTGGGGTAGCAACGGGGGTGACTCCCTTACTCATTCACCAAACATTTATTAAATGGCTCTGCTGTATCCGGTACTATCCTAGTAGTAGGATTTTGTGTAGTTCTAGAAAATTAAATGCTGGTGAAATGGATCTGTTGGCAATTCTGAAACGTGGCTTTCCATCATGCTCCCTCCTCTCGGCAAAACGCTGTCACTTATCCTGGGCTTGCTTATGGGGCTAAACTTTCTCACCTAAAAAAGATTTGTTACTAAGCTTTCTCACTTTGATACCAGATGCCTCACATCTGTTACTAATGTAAGGAGCGCTACGGCGTGTGTTTTGGGGTGTGATAAGAATTATCTGTGTCAATTTAGCACGAGGAACTGGGTTTGAAATCCGTCCGTTAAGTAGTTCTATTTTGCTTTATTCCTTCCAGCACCATTTTGCTTCTCTCTTTACAAAGACATCATTAACATGCCTGCGGGACCTGTGATTTGGGCTTTCTTGAAACCGATGCTGCTGGGAAGGATTTTATATGCACCATACAACCCGGCTACAAAGGCAATAATGGAAAAGGTTTGGCAATTATAACTCCAAGTTTCTATTTTGAGTATTGAGACGATTTTTAAAGTAGTCAACAGCCAAATTTACTTCAGCTAACTCTGGTTTCTTTGTATCTTGCCATGGTCATTACCCTGGGCTTTCTGAAGTTCTGGATAATTCCCAGCTTCTGCCTTGGCTATGTGCAAGTCTATAGACTGCACGGTAGCCCTTTGAAGGGAAGTGAACCATGTTGACACTTGGGAATGAGGTTAGTTGAAGCAGGACCTCAGATTTTTCAATTTATCTCGAAAGGCAGAAAAGTTTCCTACAACCGGTGTCTAACTTTCAAAGTATGTAAAAATGATCGTGCTGGAAAAAATAATATTGGACACCGTGTAACTAGTTTGAACAAGAGCAATCCCCGAGGTAGAGATTCTTCGCTTTTTATTTAGTTGTACAATTTAACATCTCGTATGTATGTAGAAGACAGACACGGAGAAAGACATTATTAATAGTAACCATTCTTATTTACTGCCTCATTTAATCATAATAGCATTTTTCTCCTACTTTTCAAGTTGACTTTAGTGATTTGAATTATACACTTAATACTTTTAAAATGATATAAAGTGGGAAAAAAAGATCTCTGCTTCACTATTCCTGGGTCATGAAATTATAGTTTATGTGAATGTAACATTATGTTTAGGTCTTTTTTTTAACTCTTTTTTTAATTATTTCTTATAGCATAACTGTGTACATTAATGCAATCATCATTTTTAGGTCTTTATAAAATGGATAGGAGATCACCACTGAATGTTCTTTGCTTTTATTGTTTTGGATTTAATATCTTATTTGCTTTATTAACTATATATTTCTACATAATTTTTCATAAATGAAGTTATATGTATGTTTCTTTTCATTTCTTTTCCATTTATTAGTATCATTATTTTCGTTGAGATAGAGTCTCACTCTATTGTCCCAGGCTAGAGTGCTGTGCCATCACAGCTCACAGCAACCTCAAACTCTTGGGCTCAAGTGATCCTTTTGCCTCAGCTTCCCCAGTAGCTGGGACTATAATTTTCCCCCACAATACGCAGCTAGTTTTTCTGTCTTTAGTAGACATGGGGGTCTGGCTATTGCTCAGGATGGTCTGGAACTCCTGATCTCAAGCCATCCACCACCTTGGCCTCTGTATGCTTATTTCCTATGTGGTCTTTTTTTCTTTCCTTTCTGCCTGGCTTTTCTGTTCCCTTTTTCTCCTTTCTTGATCCTACTCTTCTCCACATAAACTAATATATGTTAGCATTTGAATATGTCTTTCCACAACTTACATTCCTGCAATCCTTCTTTGATTATTTTACCACATACACATTCATTGGCAGCTCTTTGCCCATTGTTTGCGTTATTAAAATAAGATTGCTTTGGTGGCACGTGAAGCTCAGTGGGTAGGGTGCCGGCCACGTACACCACCGAGGCTGGCAGATTAGAACCTGGCCGGGCCAGCTAAGACAACAATGACAACTGCAACAAAAAAAGTAGCTGGGTGTTGTGGCGGCCACCTGTAGTCCCAGCTACTTGGGAGGCTGAGGCAAGAGAATCGCTTAAGCCCAAGAGTTTAAGGTTGCTGTGAGCTGTAACGCCCTGACACTCTACCAGGGGCAACATAGCAAGACTCTGTCTCAAATAAATAAATAAATAAGATTGCTTTATAAGATTTTTCTACATGTTGCCTTTCTCACACAAGAACACATTGTGGAAATTCTTTCCTTCCAATAGGTATCATTTAATTGATCATTTATTTATTTATTTATTTATTTTGCAGTTTTTGGCTGGGGCCGGGTTTGAACCCACCACCTCCAGCACATGGGGCCGGCGCCCCACTCCTTTGAGCCACAGGTGCTGCCCAATTAATCATTTTTAAAGATGGCAATTTTCTTCATAACATGAAATTTAGTCATCCAATCCTCCATTGTTGGGCGTTCCTCTAGTTTCCAGTGTTTTTGTAAACAACACGGCAACTAACATTCCTGTGCGTGTGGTTTTACGTAGTGGTATTTATTTCAGGTAGATGAATGTCCAGGACTGAGGGATTGAAGAATATTGTATTTTAATTTAATAGCTCTTGTCATTGCTTCCCCAAAAGCCTATAACATCCATTCCTACCAGAAAGATGTGAGAATATCCTTCTTAATTCCTTGAACTAAGATGTTTCTTTAGTAGAAAAGTTAAGTGTATCATGGGTAAAAATGAAAAACTTGTGAGAACTCCAGAAGTCATGTTTACATTTTAGCTGTAAATTCACTTGTGGACATGAAGCAAATTCCAAATTTCCCAGAATTTTAAAACATGATCTTAACTCTGTAAAAAGGTTTCATTTTAAACTTTCAACCATGTGGGAAATTTCTGATAGTATTTTTTACAAAGTCTACCTTTTAGAACTGTTTTTTTGTAGGTATGTAACAAATCAACCTTCAGATACCTTTTTTAAAGATAGGCGAAATACTAACGGATCCGGTTTCTTTTGTTTTTTTTTTGTCTTTAAGTCCAATGTAACGCTAAGGCAGCTGGCGGAATTAAGAGAAAAATCTCAAGAGTGGATGGATAAGTCACCACTTTTCATGAATTCCTTCCACCTGTTAAACCAGGCAATTCCAGTGCTCCAGGTATGAGATGGTTCTGTCATTCACCTTACCAGGGATTATAATTCCTTGAGACTTTTATCACCTTCGTTATGTAAATGGGCTTGGGCAGATAGTAACTGAGAATGCACGCAGACATATTGCCTCTCTTTCAAGAGAAAGGGTCTGAGACAGAATAACAGATATGTCACTCACGTTCATGGGTGACATCCTCACCTCTTATACTGTAAATTCCGTCTGTAATTCAGAGATAACACATCTTACAAGTTGATCTAGAGACAGCACTAGTGATATAAATTAGTTTTCCAAAAGTAAAATGCTCTAAAATATGCTTATGTTATTTATTTCTCTCTTTCAAATTACTTTCCTTTGCTATTTTAACTAAACCAGAATTCCCAAAATTCTAATATTCTGGAGGATGTAGGAATTCTGGGGAGGGGGGATATATGAAATATGTATTAAAAAGGTACCAAATTTATTTTAACCTTTGGACACAAGGTAGTCTCATTAGTTATCTAATTGTCTTCAGTTCAAAGCCACCCAAGGAAATAAAAGTTATCATGATGAGACAAATTAGCCTCTTCAAAATTTAGTGCCTACTCAAACAATCCTTCATGCTCACTCCAGTGTGAAGATTTGACAGTACAACTCAAATCCAATATACACTAGTTGAAAAGTGTAATTTGCAGTTCTTGTAAAAGATGCGAGATTTTCCGAAGATGATGCAAATACTTTGGCTGACATGTTCCAATCACAAAAGCAGCTATCGACAAGTGGAGATTGAGCAGCGGAGTTAGCCCAGTCATCAGTTGAAGAAAAGAAAGTTGGCAAGAATGATGACTGTCTAGGACCTTCAAGAGAGACTGGCTTGCATATCAAAGAGGGGCCCTTGGAAAATTGATGGAATCCTAGAATATTTTTGCAGGAAAAAAAGCTCTTCTTAATGATCAGGCTCAGGAAGTTAAACATAGAATAAAGGATATTAAATGACACAAGTTGGTCAGAAGAACTGAAAAATTGTACCTCAAAGGTACTTAGTTTTTGTTCTGACTAGCAATTAGTGTACAGTTACAATTACAACCTGAATTTTGTTATAAATGATAAAACAAATTTCTAAAATAGATGTTTAATACATTTAGTAAATAGAAAATAAACTTTTCATCAAACATCTTATGCACAATTTACTGTTAGCTTTTGGGTCTGATTTTAAGCATGCCTTTTCTAGATAACAAAAGCTCAGATAACAAAAGCTACTTTTGGCAAATGTATTTTTCTGAGTGGTAGATGGGTCTTTTCTCCTAAAACATATTTTCTGTCAAAGAGAAAAAAAAGCCACATATTATTTTATTAAGATAAGTTTTGTTAGCTAGCGTGCTTGAATTAACAGGGCATAATAGTTTCATCAGTGTGCATGCAGCCAACTACTCTACTACATTTTTTTTCTTTTTTATTTTGAGACAGAGTCTCAAGCTGTCACTGTGGGTAGAGTGCCGTGGTGTCACAGCTGACAGCAACCTCCAACTCTTGGGCTTAAGCGATCCTCTTGCCTCAGCCTCTCAAATAGCTGGGGCTACAAGTGCCCCCACACAATGCCCAACTAGTCTTTCTGTTTTTAGTGGAGATGGAGGTCTCGCTGTTGCTCAGACTGATCTCAAACTCCTGAGCTTAAGCCATCCACCTGCCGCTCAGACTGCTGGGGTTACAGGCATGAGCCGCTACTTTTAGAGCCCTCAGCAGCTATGGATCTAGCTGATTAATTATATTAGGTATATGCTTTAATGATAAATGCTATTCTTAGTTGTTCATCTGCAACATAAAATGGCAAATATTGGTAAGAAGGAAAGAATAAGTGGTATCAAACTTTGTTCTAAAAGGACAATCAACTTAATTAAGCCTAGCTTACATACTACATGGGCCATGAATCAACATATCACAGGAAAAAACATTTCTTTAATTGAGTTGCATTCTCCCTCTTCAACTTTTTTCCTTGTCCCTCAGCAATTGTGCGTCCTTAGGAGAATTCCTGTAGCTTCTTTAGCCCTACGGTTTTCATCGATGCATATAATAGCACTTACCTCAAGGTGTTGTTGAATACTAAGTGAGAAAGTGAAGTTCAATGCTGTAAACCCAGCACATAGCACGAGCTCAATAAATATTAGTTACCAGTACTCCTGTGGTGGTACGTGGAGAAATTCTTCTAATTTGGAATATAGCTATAAAAAAGCCTTTAGATTTTAAAGCAATTAAATTTTTTTTTATTAAATGATAGCTGTGTGCATTAATGCAATATGGGGTACAATGTGGTGTTTGCATATACAACTTGAAATATTTTCATCAAGCTGGTTAACATAGTCTTTATGTCATTTTCTTAGTTATTATGTTACGACGATTATATTCTACTCTTAGAAAGATTCACTTGTACCCTTGGGGATGGGTGGAGGGAGGCTGATTGGAGCAATTTAAATTTTTCTTTCAGTCTTTCCATGGATATAGATTAATTTAAAGTTTATCACCAATTTAGTCTTTCATATTGACAGAGTTGTACATGCTGCACTACAAAATAATGTTATGATAAGTTATTTTGACTGTTCTGATGAAATGAGTCATTCATCTCTACTTTACAGGAAGGTAATCTACAGATGGGAAGTATTAGGCCTGGAATACAAATCAGTCATGATGTCAAATAGAAATTACAATTTTTAAAAAGTTGTTTTTAATTGTTTCAGTTGAACAAAATTCAACCACAAACCACAACATTGTGCATAGTCTATATAAAAAAGTAAACATAGCTACACCCAAACCATCTGTTAAAGCAAATATAATATCGTAATGTTGATAATTATAGTTGTATCTGGCCAGTTTAGCACGCTGACCAATTTTATGTATAGACAAACAAAAGCCCCGCCTTTCAGGTCATTTCCAGACGCCAATCATCTCTTTTTGTCTCAGGATTTGTGGGTGAGCCTTTGCAAGATGGTGGATGGATAACACACAAGGGTGCTTACTTCACTTCACTGTCATTGTTTTTAAAGAGACAATGTTAAACGTGTTTTCTTCCTGCATCGAAACTAATTCTCTATTATCATTTGTCAGAATACTCTAAGGAACCCCTTTGTGCAAGTTTTTATAAAATTCTCCGTGGGACTTGATGCTGTTGAACTGTTGAAACAGATAGACGAACTCGGTGAGTCCAGATTCACGAAACTTCTACTCCCCAGTCATGTCAGAAATGTGAAAAATGTTGATCTGTGTCACTTTTCCTTTCCTCCTGTATTTACTTTCTAGCTAGTTTTAAGAAAATTGAGGCCCTAGACGCATCCATCCATTTCTTCCCAGTTAGTCCTACAATTATCAGCAGAGCCGACTGTAAGGCCGCCTCGGTATCCGCAGGTGGTTTCAAGAATTATCATGCACTATACTCCGTGTCTGTGTAGTTTTTTCATCAATTTCAGGGAGGGTGTTGGAAGTATGGCAGCACTTTTTTTGTTTTTCTAGTAACTTGATGGAAATCAAATCCTTAAGGATGAGAGAAAATGAAATTATTTATTTCTGGCTACATTTAACATTTTTATCTTCGTGGGCCTTCGTATCACTTGATTAACCCAGAATGCAATTGGAAAAGATGACAGAGTTAGCACAAGCAAAACACAGGTGACGGGGAGACTTGAAAGAAAATAAAATCAGTATTCAAGGTTGGGTTCTCCTCATACGGTCACTTAGAAAGGAACAGGCTGCAGAGGATCAAAGGCGGCTGTGTGAACCTATGCGTTCCTCTGCCACATCCCCACCTTCAGCCTAACGGATGCAAGTCATCTCATTCAGGCTGCGTCGGATTCCCTGTTGCTATGCAACCACGGGTCTGAGAAACGGATGGAGAGCATCAGAGTCTGGCAGTAGCAAAGCAAATGCCTCTCCTCCTCCCCAGCACTGCTGGGACGTAAAAGATTAAGGTTGTAAACCAGGGGCGAGGAATTATGCCTCCAATTGTATATATATTATGATAGTCAACCCAGTTTGATTAAAGAAAGGTATTATTGGATTTATTCTCCATAAGAACCATTGGGGTGAGGAACTATTTGATCAAAATATCAGGGATAAGCTATAAAGTTCTTATATAAATTCTGTCATTCATTCCTAACTTTTAAGATGGGAGGCGAGGCTCAGAATTTAAAACAAGATTAAAATGACAACAGTGACACTTGATACTTGTTTAATTATCTATGTAACTTAATATCTAAAAAATTGTATATTTCAAATTCAGGGGGCATTGAACCCCCAAAGAGGTTTCTATGATTCAGTCTAGCAGCATTTCTAAGGAATCACTTGGTGGTGTGTTGGTTTCCAGCGGCCACTGGAGGCCACTCTTCGACCGCAATTTACCCCTCCCCCACCATCTGCATCTAGTAAAACATTTCACTTTAAATTCTAATGAGAGACGCATTTAAGACGTTGCCCTCTGTGAGAAATTTAGTCTTGTTTTGTACCATGTAAGAGACATGTCTGGATTCTGTGAGGAGAGATTTATGATATTCGCAGCCTTCTCCATATTCGTGATGACCAAGCCAGTAAAAATTTAATTGGCCAAATGATTTGTTAACTTGCAGTTTCTTATTTACCCTTTGTCCCGGTTGATTTTCTCACAAGGAATCATGACATTGAGGAGGAATGAAATCCTCTTTCTTCCAGAGTAATTACCTAAAATAAAATCTTCATCATTTTGAAGATTTACATCCGTCTAGATGTATACAGATATAAAAGAAGTAACTCACTGAAGGTTTTAAGTCAAATAATATTCGAAGGTTGCAACTGGGTGGCATGTGTTCTTAAGTATTTGAAATGTTTCTGAAGCTCAGCCTATCGAAGAATATAGTTTAGTTGTTCTAGACGTTCTATACAGACCTTCCCTTGTTTCAATTTGTACATTCACATTTCTGGTACAAAGCGGGTACTTCTTCCTGGTTTCCTCTGACATCGCCTCTCTAGTTTATACTTATGATTTTCTTACTAACTACATATACGTAGGCTTTAAAAATTATTCACCTTGTTTCCTTTATTAATTAGATAGTGACAGAGTGTATTTTTAGCTTGCATCTTTCTTTGAACCTGGGTTTACCGTATTTGTATCTAGCTCCTCTGCTCCGTGAATATTTGCTTATGCGGACACATTTTACTGGGTGGAGAGTAATAGATGTTTTTAGAGTAAATTCTACAGCCTGACTTTAATGTAGTGTAATGTTTATTCCCTAAAAAACAGTATTGTGTCCTATGTTTTTTGTCTTGTAATATGATTTTTGTCTCTTTTGTTTTGCTTCTTTAGATGCTTTACGGACAAAATTAGAGAACAACATTGACATCATTGATCAGCTGAACACACTATCTTCCCTGACAGTAAATATTTCCTCTTGTGTATTATATGACCGTATTCAGGCAGCAAAAACCATAGATGAAATGGAGAGAGAAGCCAAAAGGCTCTACAAAAGCAATGAACTCTTTGGAAGTAAGTGCTATTCTTTTAGGATTTGACCTCTTTATACTAAAATTGGCCAAATTCTTCCCTCACCTCTTTCATCAGGAACTCAGAAAAGTCGTCTGGGGGTCATTACCCCCTCTGATGTCTTTAGAATTGAGAGGCTTTCATGTAGTCAGCCAACTGTGTTATCTAAGTATGTCTGATGTTGTTAGTGTAGTTAAAAATTAAAAATGAAAAGGATCACATAGTTACAGGGTGAAGTTGAGTCCATCCTCATTATCCATCAAGATTATTCATTATAAAAGTGGGTTTTTTTATTTTAATAAGTGGCTTAGCATGATGTATTTAATCTGGCCACTTCGTTTTGTGATTATATTCTTAAATATAGTTAGACTCTCTCTCTTAGCTCCGAATCCCTGAGGTTGACACCTCCAATTAACCATCCTTCCTGTAAATTAAGAGCCTGAACCTACTGTCACATCACTAACTCAGATGACTGTTTGGCTGCCCCCTATGTGTACCCTCCAAACAATGAATAATGTCAACTATAAAGTAACCTTTCTGCTGTTGTTGCCATTTTATTTTTAGGTGTTATTTTTAAGCTTCCTTCTAACAGAAGTTGGCACAGAGGCTATGACTCTGAAAATGTCTTTCTGCCTCCTGTCGTAAGATACACCATCCGCATGAGTCTCAAGACTGCGCAGACCACAAGAAGCTTAAGAACCAAGATTTGGGCCCCAGGGCCTCACAATTCTCCATCACACAACCAGATCTATGGCAGGGCTTTTATTTATTTACAGGATAGTATTGAAAGAGCAATTGTGGAATTGCAAACTGGAAGAAACTCACAGGAAATAGCAGTCCAGGTCCAAGCAATTCCTTATCCCTGCTTCATGAAAGACAAGTAAGTGTGTGTGCTTTCAGCCCTTGTGAATGCTATTACTTTTTTGAGAGGTCACTTCAGTTCATTCATTCAGAGGTATCAAATGAAAGGGATAATTCACCAAAGCTTTGCCCCATGCTGGTTTCTGGGAAAGGGCCCACAGGATAGCCACAGCCCCTTCTTAGCTGCTCATTGTTACCAAAATGATGACATAGTGCTTGCCAAATAAGTTATGTTTCCTTTCTCATAACTCTACCTCTGCCAGAACCCTGGCCCCTGAGCAGGGAGAACTGGCCTCTAGAGCTGAGTCCAATGCTGCATGACTTGGACATACCCACTGTCTGCTGATCTGACTCTTGTCTAATGTGGGAGATGAACAAGATAATCATAAAATCCCTTCCAAATCTCCCAAATTTGATAAAAATCTGAACACGGGGTCAATTTTAAGGAAAAGGGGATGAAAGAAATCTTGACCATGTATCGATCAACTCTGTGAGATAAATAGGTGCCGTCTGAAACCGTCATGTACTATCACTTCATTGGCTGGTAATCTTCTCTGTCTAAAATGACTTCTCAGTGTTCTTTGAAGAATGGGAGAGTGGTCATAATAAACAAAGAGTATAAACTCTTCGTGGCACACACAGTGCTTTCACATCTATTATTTCATTTGTTTTGCACAAAAAAGACTCATAAGGTACATGAGAGCAGAAATAATAGGTTAAGTAACTTGCTCAAGGGTATATAGCTGGGACTACACAGTCCTTCTGATGATAAGACCAGTGTTTTCGCCCACAGACTAGACCAAACCTGAAATGTACAGTCATTGAGAAGAAACATTTCAGGGAATTTGTCACTAATGAATGAGGGCCTTTGCTTAATTCTAGACCTAGAAACAGCATCAAGGCTGGACCCGGACCAAAACAAAATTCATTTGATAAGTACTCTTTCAGCTCCTACTCCATGGCAGACAGTTTCCCAGGAAATAAAAAAATTGGATATGGCCCCAACTTTCCCTGTTTCCCCACCACAAAACACTCGTTTCTCTGATGACGATATGCTTCTGCATGCTAGGTTGAGCGTGAAGGCAGTGATGCCACGTTTCATTAATATTGCATTCTTCTTGGGAGGCATGGGGGAAATTCTCAGCCTTATAGAATAAAAGGAAATGGCCTCGTGACCTTTCTCCAAGTCAAAGCTTCCGTAGAGCCCAATATCCCAAACAGATCAACTTCGAAAACTATTGCCTTAGCTTTGGTCCATAGAAGAGGGGCAATTATCAGAACAGTGGCTGTTATGGAACCTGCAGCGTCAGCATCACCTGCGAAGTTGTTTAAAATGCAAATTCCTGGTCCTCTCCTAGATGTAATAAATCAAAGCTTATGGGTGGAGCACAGGAGTTTGTGCTTTAATAAGCTCTCCAGGTGCTTCCAATGCGATCAGCTTTAAGAACCACTGCATTTGAACTTCAGGTGTCATGGGTAGGACCCTGGAGAATGCACCTGGAGACTGATGGGGTGACCCAGTGATCCTCCAGTTTAGCATATGATCGGAAAAGACACTTCTATACCCTTTATGAAACATCTCCTCTCCCAGAGCATTACTTTGAGGAGTCCAGGTTCTTTGTCCACATTTTAAATGAAATGTTTTGGGTTTTATTTCATCTTGGAAAATTTAGTTTAATAATAACTATGAGCTTCCTAAGAGTAAATACATACAGTAATTTTGGAAGATAGAGCTTTTAGTTAGATAAACCAATCATCATCCAATTTCAAATTTGCCTTTTGGATGAAAATTTAGCTCAGGCAGAAAGGTTTCGAGCCTTGCAATTATATCTATATAATAATTATTTTCCCAGACAGACCAGAGTCAAACAATTTAAACAATATGGCAACTTTATCTAAGGATCGAGAGCTGCTGTTGTACCCTCGTGGGCCCACGCTTAAGTCACATTCACATTTCATAAATAATGGGGTGACTCGTTCTTTTCGATTTCAAAACAGGAGTGTAATTTCACTGTAAGGAGTGTGTTCTTGTATTATAGTCTTCAAATGTGACATTCAATTTGGTCACTGGATTTTTTTGTTCATTTTACAGCTTCCTAACCAGTGTCTCTTATTCTCTTCCCATCGTGCTGATGGTTGCCTGGGTTGTGTTCATAGCTGCTTTTGTAAAAAAGCTTGTTTATGAGAAAGACCTCCGGCTTCATGAGGTATGTTGAGAGTTTCTTCTTCTTAGGAATATAATATTCCATAGCAACAGAACAATCAATTGCTATGAATTTCATCATGCCTATGTAAACTCAGAAAGCCTAATACATCCCTTATAAATTAGATGGAAAGAAAAATATTTTACAAATCACCCAGTGGGCTGATAAGGCAATATTTTGTTTTCTCAAGAGGTGACACAACAGTTAATAAGTGCCTCCATGAAAAACAAAAGATGAATAACTCTAAATGAACTATGCATGTAATTACAGTCCTAAGAATAATTTTTGCTCATTTTTGCCTATGTAACTTAGGATCTAACAGAGAGTGTTTAAATAATAACAATAATGATGATGATTAAGGCAGGAAGATCGCTGGCATGAGAAGTAAATGGATCCAAACGTAGACGCAGACATAAACAGATACGTGGCTTGTTTCCGCTTTCACAAAGACAATTCTCTTTCCAGGACAGCTTGTTTCCTTCAATTACCGTCTCCATTTTCCTCTGATTCCTGATTTATAGACATTGAGAATTTCATGTTATGCTTCTGGTTAGGTTAATAAAAACATCACAGTGGCAGTCAGGACCAGGAGTGTTAAGCTTGCTGTCTTCCTGGGTGCGTTCTTCATCATTAAGCCCAAATCCAAAATATCTTACTTCTTTTTAGAATTTATGATAAAGTATTGTGTGGTTTTTAGATTCTGAGTAGACTTATTTCATCGGCTCATCCCAGAGTGAGTCTGTTCCCCTCCTTCCTCATGGAGTGAAAAGAAAGATGAAACATTTCAAAGTTCGGGTGTGGTAATTATTGCGAGGCCAGGCTGAAAAACCTGAAATAATGAGGTTAGAGCAACCTGTTAGTCCCCTTGTCCTCTTCAGATTTACTTTGCCAGTGCTGCTGGGCAATTGCTGTGTCTCCTTTCAAGACACAAGTCACCGCTTCACAGTTCTGTAAGTTCAGTATCAGCCTTCCAGGGCTGTCACAGAAATGTAGGTAAGAAGCCGACGACATTTTCTATTTGAATTCTGGTTGATCTTCGCAGTTGCATTGTCATATTTCAGTTACAATTTGGTAAATGTCTCATCAGCTAGTTTGAGTCCTATCATATTCAGGAGTGTTTGCAGTGGTTTCCTAATTCCAATTTAGAAACCTGAATCCACGCCCTGGACTCTCATTTTGGCGGCAAGGCCCTACCTTAGATTTCTTTTTCAGTTTCCTGGTATTCAGAAGGGAATCTTCACAGATTAAAGGAAAACTCAGAAGTGGAAAATTGTAATATTAATAGAAATTTAGTTTTTTTCTATTTCAGAATAAAAATATTTTAAAATATTTCTTGTGATAGAAATAGTAAATAAGTATATAGGTGTGTATATATATACACGTACACGTGTGTGCGCATAATATATGTGTACAGTATATATAAACATAAATGTGAACATGTATACATACATTACACACACACTGTATTATTTTTGTGTTTGAACATGGCACTCCTCTGAAAGCGTATATACATGTCACCAGAAACTATCAAAGCATACAAAAGAGTCTTTTCTAGAAAAGAAAGGAAAAGAAAAGGCTGTTTTTACAGTGAACCAGTTTCTGTTTGGAAGCTCTGTATCTTCCTTAGGTGGGCATCTACGTTCAAAATGTAACCACCTTGTCTTGGGTGAAAGTTTAGACAGCAGAAGATCACTGAACCTGAAACCGAGCTATCAGGTTTTGTCGTCCAGCTCTACCAGCCAGGTGCACTTGGGCCCAATCCCTTACACTCTGAGTCTGATCATCTAGACCTCATTCAATGCTGTGTTACCAGAAGGTAGCATTGAATGAGGTCTAGATGATCAGACTATCAATCATTCATATTTTCTATTTGATCAATTATTCATATTTTCTTAATTCTAAAACATGGACTTTCTTTTTTTTTACTTTTTAAAGCCTCTGAAATTAGCATGCATTTGACAGTGTTGTGATTTATTTGGTCATGAGGTTTCTTTCTTGGTGGCATGTAAGATAACAGCATGTCCTAAACGGCATCCTAAATGCACAGGAAAGTGGCACATTTGTCACAGATGGAGGCAGGCACTGAAGGATGTTCCCAGTACCTCTTGCTCTCAGCCTGCCCGCGCTGCCCACAGTTTTCATCTC